GTAAAGTGCAAGTTACCGTCCACGCCCCCTGAGCACCGGCCTTAAGCAGAATTTCAACATTCTAACACACGAAAATTGGTGAAATTTTGTAATTTAGAAGACATCCGCAAGATGTGTTCATACGGCGGTTATCATGGAACCTTCAATGTGACACAGTAGTGGTCATTCCATGAAAAGCGCCGAAGGTCCCCCAGTAAAAGAATGCTTTTGCCCTAAACGGAAAAACAATGGGCGGAACAAAATAAAATGGAATTGAAAGAGGACCTGAGGTTATGAAGTCAGGGAAATGTATTTGAGTCTAATTTTATTAGGCTACCCTTACTTATAGTTATAATGATGCATATACTTTTAATCATGTGTGACTCAAATAGATTTCCCTTACTTAAACATAATGTTCCATATATTTTGGCCTAGTGTGACTCAATTAGGTTTTACCGTTACTTATATAGAATGTTCTTCATAATGTGGGTATGTGTGACTTTATTGCGCTACCCTTACTTAATATATTTAATGTTCCCATATACTGTGGCCATGTGTGACTCAAATAGGTTTCCTTTACTTAAATATATATGTTCCATTTATTGTGGTTATGTGTGACTCAAATGGGTTACCAAAACATATATTTTAAGTTGCATATGATGTGGACATAAATTATGTGACTTTAATTAGGCTACCCTTAAGCTATAAAGCCTCCATAATACTGGGGCCATCGTGTGACTCGAATATATTTATTTTAGTATTTTAATTCGTTTGCTGTGTCCATGTGACTCTTAATTAGGTTTACAAAACAGATTAATTTTAAGTTATATTACGTGTGGTCCATGTGCTTACTTTAACAGCCTAACCCTTTACCCATATTTTAAGTTTATAATACTGGTACCCATATGACTGTAACAGTATAGTATAGTCATGAATAACTAAATATAATACCCACTTCGGTATGTTAAAAGTCCAATTAATGAAAAAAACGTTCTTAAGCCCCCATATAATATTACAGGGAAAAAATTGGTTTTGGCCCAATTATTGGTCATTAGCCTCGACATGACCTTATGAATTAAGTCGCTCCCGAAAATAATCCGATGAACCAACATAATTGGGTATCACACAACAGTTTGTGGTCACTAATTGAACATAATGACCTCTGCAACCGAACAGTTTATCATCTGAACTGAACATAATGATAGTACCAAAAAACCACTGAACATAACGACATTTGCACCGAACAACACATTGACTTGACTGAAGTAGATATAATCAGCACACAAGATAATGATAGTACCATTTAAGATAATGATTGTACCATTTAACAGTTCTATTTCACGACTGAACAGAAGAAAAATAAAGCACCCAACAAGCATGTCATTGCAACTGAAAATAATAAAAGTATCACCCAATAATACACTGTCTCAGCCAAACACGAATGATAGTGACGCACTCAACTGAGTTTATTTTCATGGGTTGAACATAATGAGAAGAGCAACCAATTGGCATATTATAATAACCGAACATAATAACTGTAACACCTTTGACTACAACATATCTTTTTAACTCAACATAATTGTGTTACCACATGCCTTGTTGGTTTTAAGAACTAAACATAACGACCTTATGCACCCGACAATACATTGACTTGACTGAATAAAATACAGTCAGCACACAACATAGCACTTCAATAACTGAGCAATTAGGATTTCCACACCCAGCATTTTGTATCTCGGACACAACAGAAAGACATTTAACCAGGTATATATATTCATTCTTAACATAAGACAGTCCAGGCGTTCCATAATATTACCCTCAGCATACTTTCTTTTCTCGCCATTAGGAACATTCCCCACTCACAAGGCCCCATATCAATGAAATCATCTGCCTTTAGGAAATTCCAACAATTATGCTCTTGTGCTTTCACTCTGTCCATTATCTTTTGGAATAGAGTGGCATTGGCATTAATTTAGAAACCACTGGGATGACGCTGAACTCTTCCAAGAATCTCAAATACATGTCAAATTCCCAACGATCATGAACAGACGTATGCGATAACCATGCGAAATGCCTCCCAAGACCATGATCGAACCTCCGTCCAGACCCGTCCCCAACCCCCTTACACCCCCAAAAAAGAGAGATCTTATTGAAGTACACAACAGTTGGCATAACGTTCAGTTCTTTAACGATATACACGAACTCTGTATGGAAAAATGGACAAATGATGGTATTCCAGTATTGCCATATCCAGCGATGGTGTAAACGGGCTCAGTTGACACGGTGACTTTAGAGAATGTCACAGCACATGTAGCAACAGTGGCAGGTTCAGTTTGAAACGATTGTAAAGGTGTGTGTTCATAACATAGTGGTCTTGACGCGCGGACGTGCATTATTCTACAACAATGAACTCAAAATCGATGTCTATTTCCTATACAACAAGCAAACAAACAAATGAAAAAGACTGTTAAAGAGGGACAGCTTCACAGTCTATATATTACAGCAACTCACTATGTATATGTACTGCAGATTTATCTCCCTTACACACACTTAAAAAACATGAATAAAAAAAACAGCAAAAAAAACGTAAAGCCAGCTTCCATATAAGAATTGGCTGTGACTAAAAAAAGGATTGGAGCACCACACTAAATACCGTATTCCGGTATATACCGGGCAAGGCGCTTGAATGATAAAATGCTAAAATCTTGTCTTTTTACCCAACGGAATGAACTTTAATAGGTCTAATTCATCTTTTCACACTGATTTATGTATGATAATGCATGAAAAATGTAAAAATCAGCGAAAAAAACGATATTTGTCTATTTTGTGATCATGATTTCTGCAAGCGTCTAGAGGTACTGCTCCAATCCTGTATTGAGCTAAATCCATAAGAATTACAAGAGACTGAGAGACTGTCGTCTACACTATACACACATTATTTACAACCATAAACGCTGAAACATTTTAACAAAAGTGAATGAAAAAAGCTCTTAAAATATATACATGTATATAAGATGACATGAATTACACCATGAGAATAACCATCTTGACAACTTCCTATATTAAAATGTAAGATATATACTCAACTATCACTATAAAAAGGCGGGAGGAGAGGGAGAAAAAAAAAAGCATTATTATTCATACATATAAAAAAATATTCTATTTAAAATTTTGAAGCAGGTTTTGGCACTTTTTCTAACTAATGGCTTACTTAACAATTTTTGTCATTGAAATTAATTTTAGGTCAAAATAGCACTACTTATTTATTCATTCCTTATATCCTACATATATAAAGAAATATGAAAAACAAGTAAGTGTCGCGTTCAGTGAAGTAGCACATGTAATTCTATTTCTACTATATAACAGAAAGGACATTTTCTGTTTTCAAATACAAGGTATTCATATCTTCCTGTTTCTATTCTTAGTGGTAGCATTCTGGCAGATTTATGTTTTGGAGGCATTATCATTTGACAATAATCTTCAGAAACAAAATCTGATTTGAAATTACAGATAGCCCTTAGTTTATTTCCACTCTGGTCTGACACACTTGTTTGCCCAGTCGACAGCAATTTCCATTCGCTTATAACTTCATTCATCACATTTTTTTCTCCACAACATATTTCTAAGGCCTAGGTGTACATATATTTGTAAATATTTCAAGGTTTCAAGCTACAAACTTTCTCTACTCAAGAGTATAAAACCATTTTTTACACGAGAAACTACATTTTTGCCATGCCCAAACTGCAGTCCATTTGTTAACACGACACTCACCATTCCGAACCCACAATGAGGCAATTTGTTTCCAGTGTCTCAAAACTGGAGGCAACCAGGCCATCTCACCATATAAAGCTACGATAGGTGTGTATTTATAAGTAACACCAATACGTAACAATTTCTTCAGTAGAAAGGCGTATACCTTGCTAATATATATGTATCCGATAAAATCAATCCCATTTTCAAGAAAATTTATGGTGGGCTTCATCGAATTTTCGGAAAATAACCCGTACTCGGCATACCGTAATTTATAACATGTTTCCTTTAATGCCACATTCAATTATTCAGAACACGTGTGAACTATATAAGAAAGTAACCTAGATTAAAAAAGAAATAATCATAAAACTTGAAGACAATGCTTATTCCAAGAAGTGTTTGAATTCCATTTTCCCAGAATTAAAGGTGTATTCTATGGTTATACATTGTAACAAATCTGTCAATGTTTGCGAATTATCCAAATTACTAAATCATTTCTGATAATTTTTTTCCAATGCCAAAAAAGTATTTGGTTTGGCATCGTCGGATACCCACGATTGATAAACATGTCACACAACATGCAATCAATGTTAATGGTTCGGCCGTGGGTATCCGACGATGTTGGTTTGGGTAAGTAAACAGAAACAAAAAAAAATCTCTAAAATCGCCAAGAAAGTAATTATTGGCCAATCGCAGTAACCATCTGACAGATAACGTATTACAATAATAAATACAATTGTGATTCTATCCATTGATGAAAATTGCAAATTTAGTGTTGTATTTCTTATAAAACGACATGTCTGGAAATGTGCATGAGCGTCAAATAAAAACGACATTTTCAACTAACAATTAACATACTCGTTAATTAAAAGTGAAAGTAAAAATATGTTCATTTAATAATATGGAAAACATTTCTGTTTTCTAATTTTGACCGATATCTAGTCACAATCACTTTCGTATTTCAATATTTTTTCCTGTGAACACTTAAAATAGTCCATATACGTACATAGGAAATGACTATTTATCTAATTTCCTACCATTCAACAATTGAAAACTGTTACAATTACATGTATGTACTTTTACTGTTTACATTCAGGATGTTAAGAACCCAATGCACGTTCTTCACGATTTTCTCGTGATTTTAGATATTTAAAGTACTATTAAATTAAGGATATACATTCCGGTCTAAGGTAGGTCGTTAGTTTATTCTGCGAAAATGTAGCATAAGCATGATATTATGTCTGTGCGTGTATTATTGTCTGTTTTATTTTAATAATTTATCATCTTATGATCGGTCACATAACCGACATTGATTTTGAATTTTCTTTTCTTTTTGGAAGTGTACATGTATTTTAAGAGATTAAAATCGGTTATATTTTTAGAAATTTTTACGTCATATAAAAAGGACAATTTAACTGTGAAATATTTGCATGCAGTTACTGTGCAAAACTTGCTTATAACAAAAAAGTGTAAGTGACAGATTTAGATTTTCTGGTATTATTGAGGCCCGTCTTGGTTTTTATGAGACATTAAAGTAATTTGTTGGCGACGCCGGTGAGCGGCGTCGTCTTTTATGGAATGCTTCGTTTTTTTTGACCGTGGTAGGAGCTGTTATTATTAGAAGTTAATAATTAGTTTTATAATGAGTTTTAAATATCAAGTCAACAAAATTTTTTATTATTATTAAAATCATATTCATTTCTCATAGTGTGTCAAGTTTTAATACCGCATGTTTGTAACGTCGATTTTCATTAGCTAATCGTGACGTTTATATAGATTCATAAATAAAGCTGCTGTCAATTTATGAAGAAATTTCACTTTTTCCCTAAAAAAGGAAGTTTGTGATACGATAAATTCGTTATTTACAGGTTATATGACCACATATAAATGTTGTTCGCAATATAACCTCCTCCTAAAGGCTCGAATCATATGTACAAACAACCATTTATAAAAAAAAAAGAAATGAAATAAAAAGAAAGATAAAACAAAAACAAAAAAATTTATATAGGACCATATTACCTGTCAAATACATGTATTATAAACAGCTGATACAAGGTTATATAACGCCAGTCACTATACTGCTATACTTGGTTATTTAACTTGTAAAATGTCTTCATTATAATGAAGTTATGTTACACATTTTTGCTTTCTATGAATAATGCTACAGCTATTTCACATACATGTAATAGGTATCAAGTATAAATGTTTTAACTTACAGAATAAGATTTACAATTTTTGAACGAGCCCTTAAAGTCCTTCAATCGCGTCCATACATACGGGTGTTAAAGGAACTCAACTTAGGTCCAAAAGCCTAAAACACACAATTTGAATTTATTATATAGATCAGGTGGGGCACTTAAAACGGAAAGATGTGCAAAAGATTATTAAGAAATATATTCAAACTAAATTGAAAATCGTAAAATTGTGCTATTTTTAGCCCGATATGAGTGAAAAAGCATTGCAACGCTTTTCAATGTTGGGACATTTTGCTTAATAAGAATAGTTATTTTGGAAAAACGGTTCAAGCAAACGATCTTAAATTTTGCTCACAAGTTTTTGGTCTCGACATGCATTCAATGGAGCATCCATTTTTTGAATATTTCAAGTCCCGTCGTGTCAAACTTCAGTGGTGTCCCTTTAAACAGTCTTTTGAGAGTTTAACCATGAACGTAAATTACACTGATATTTTGTTTTAATAAGTCCTGTGTTTTAGTTGAATAAAAATATTCTCGGTTCACTGGGTCATTTTCTTTTTAAGGATAAATAAAAAACCACTGCAAACCAAACTGCAAACGCTGCATGAGGTCAACATTATGTAATCATTCTTTGTCGTCACATTTGCTAAACATTAGTCCTGAATTAAGCACAGATCTTATCAAAATTATATAAAGTGCACATGAGCATTTGTGTGCATATGAGATAAAGCTCGACTCCAGCCACGTGTTGTATCCTTACGACGCAAGTTTCTATAAATAGGTAAGACACTCCGGAACTGCTTGTTATTCCGTTAAGAGGTTTAAAAATAATAGTAAAAAAATGAAAGAAAAATAGTTGCCAAAGAACCTGATAAGATTGAAAACATGACCTGATTTGATATACTGGCACTCGTGGATATAGCAAATCAAAATAGCTGATGTTGCACAAAACGTATTTCTTATTTCAGACTTAATTAGAATTGCATTACTCGTGTGATTGTTAATTGTTCTTTCATTTCCATCAAGCTTTTCGGTCAATAATATGATACACATCTTTTCCTAATTTTGTTAGTTCGGTAATTTTCGCCACCAGGGTTTTTATTTGATGATACTGAGTGGTCTCTGATCCCGATCCCGGTCCAACGCCAAAGATACTTAAAGCACACATATATATAGCCATTTAATTATTTAGATAACACCGGAAAATGTATATTGTAAACAATAATCAATTCCAAGGTCGCTTCTATTTTCAAAAAATTAAAAAAACATTTAAATATTTTCAGAAATTCTATTGATTATGGGTCGAGAGCCTACAAATAACTACATTTTTTTTCTATGATGCATGGCAGTCGGTTCTGAATATATATTAAGTTTAATAGCTTGATTCAATTTGTTAATTGTAGGAATATCTATTAAAGTAAGTCTATATTACAATTAAGCTTGTACACGGGTCCCTATGGCATTTAGTTCCCATGAGCCGCATCCTTGAAAAAAAACAACAATAAGAATTGAAAAAAGTGCGCGTGTCACCAAAATTCAAAGGCTAAAACACACGAATGCTTATTAAATGATAAAAGTACATAAAAAATTAATCTAATTTTAGGATATAAGTAGAACAAGTATTTCTTAAATAATAGGTTATTTATATATGCACTTTTGTATGCAATCCGCTGTAAAATCTCTTTGATAAATTTCCATTATTTATCTGTTTATTTTTATTATTTTATTATTTTATTTCAATATTTTTTTCATTTCCTTAATTTAGTATTTCATTGTTTGTTAGTCACTGATATGTCTTTGTTCGTTTGTTTATACGTGACGCAATGTTATCAAATTTGAATAACTGTACTGATAACCGACTATTGACAATTTCGTCTATATCCCTTTCGAACTGTCTAGCGCACTCTGGCGGTCGATAAAATGTGTTATCTTTGAGAGTCCTTATCTGGATTTATAGGCCAATCTCGAGCGCGTTTGTAAACACAAATGTCCAAATTCTGTCTCAAATTTGGAAAAGGATCAAAATGAACGCAGCCATAACAGCATAAGTAAGCTTTCGCTCCCAACAGTCATTCATAGATAAGAGGCGGTACACGCACGACGAAATACTCTAGCTTTAAAGTCCTTTAGACCTCATTATAATTTTATTTCATATATTAAAAAAAATAACAAAACAATATTAGTATATTTTTATATATATTAGAATATCCTTTATTTACTTTTTTTGTAAAAATAGTATCTGTTGAAAGTGGGTTAAATTTGTTTGTTTATTTATTTATTTAGTGAGTGTTTATATTCACGTATGGATGCGTTAAAGGAACAGAATCAAGATGCGTAAGTTAACTTTTTGTTTTAAATTTTCTATTTTGACTTTCGTTTAAAGAAAATAATGATATTAAGCATGTATCTATATTTACTTTTCTACTGATACATAAGTTGCAAGCTGTGCATGACCTTTCGATAAAAAAAGGGTTTCAAGAGTTTTTCGCAGACACTTACTTAAGCAAACGAATCACTTACTTAAGCAAACGAATAGAACGCGCTTGTTAAATTTGCATGTTATTCCTTCTAATATTGAAATCGAAGGTTCAATTTACTACTTCAACGAAAACAAGTCACAATTTCTTAGCACCTGTAAACAAACAATGATTTTCTGGCTCCCATTCACTTACGTTAAAAAATGTCCCTCCCGTTCGCTTGTTTTAAGCTTGCAACAAACGGTAAAAAAACACACTAATATTTATTGCATTTAATCAGAGTCGAACACAATCTTAAAAAAACGTTTGATAAATAATTGTCACTATGAAGGAGGTGGACATTTTATTTTACGGACTCTAAAACAAAATTATTCATTGATTTCACATTTATGTATCGACATTGTATATATTTATCCATCGTTATTCAAGATCAACTTTATAATAAAGGGGATTTTACACGACATTACTTAACTGAACATAACAAAATACACACTGTAAGAGACTATCCCATCTTTTGCAATGAGTGATCGAGTAAGGCAAGGGTATTATTGTAAAGATAGCTATTTCCGGTTAGACAATATTTATAGCCAATCCCTCATTCGGCATTGATAGTGCAAAACATTGATAAAGAAATCAGGTCTATTTTTGTTACAAATAAAACATTTCAAAATATACATGTCAATTACATATATAACTTAGCCTGGTCTTTACGATAAATACCAACAAGAGTAAGGTGATGGGTACAAGTTATTCTGGACACAATATGCATCGTCACGGGCCACGGACGTGACTCGAATATTGCTTACTTTCCCTGAAAATAAGACACTACTGACCTCTTTAACACAAAACAAGAAACATAATATAAAGTCTTGACCTCGGAAAACGGCATAGTCATCAAGTTTTGCTGAAAATTGAATACGAACTTAAACTTAGATTTTTAATTATGGTTACATGTATTTACATTTAAATTATTTCCGTCATTAATTAAAAACCTATTGATTATTATTTTATTCTCAGACAGCTGTCTATAGCGAGTTCAAAAGACTGAATAAGATTTTTAAATGTGTTATATAATGTTTGCTTGGGCATCCAATGTGAAAAGTAAATGCGCCTATCGTTAGGAAACGTTAAGTACTCCAAAGAAATGTAATTAGCATCGGAACAACTCGGCTATTGTTCCGAAGATTGACGGAAAGGGCCGAGAAGTTGCGATTGCTGATTCTATTTAGACATTCACAACACTAACGTATCTTTTGTAGTTAGTTGAAAAAGTCCATTGGTCCATTTAACCTTCAAACATCATCAGAACAGAACAGAACAGAAATTTTATTTCGTAACGTATACAATACAGTATCTTGTTACATTACATATATCAAATATTATAAATAGATAAACACATGATATAATTCAAAGATTTACAGTATATTGGAGAATGAACATATATTGCTGCGAAAAAATTGATTTTGTATTAAATAAATGTATATCAGAATAATCTCATTTTTAATATCAGAATAATCTCATTTTAATATTAAAATTACTAGCGAAATCTAAATGTTTACAATATCTATGAAAATAATAACAACATTTTAACATTACATTTATGTATAACCTAAGCTTATCAACATATCTTTTCTTTTACTATTTGCAAAATAGATAAATTTACATAAATTTAATAATATAGACTTTTCACATGACTGAAGTAATTCTATGAATTTAAACATGCTAGGTTTTTTATAATAATATCTTTTAATGAATTTAGTGCGTATTTCCTGGTACAAAGTACAAACAAGTATAAAATGAAATTCGTCTTCGACATCTTGTGTATTACAAAGTTGACATATGCGCTCATGTCTTTCAAGTCTGTTTCTACCATATCTACCAGATTCTATTCTTAAATTATGCGCAGATATTCTGAGACGGGCTAATTGTTGTCTTGATTTCATACACTTAATTTTATCTAAATAGCATTCCATAGAAAAATTATCCTTGATATGTCTATACAATGTATTTAAAACGTTATTATTAACAATATCTGAAAACCATTTTTGTTTAAAAACATCAATGACTCTTTGTTTAAAAATATTAACAAATTCTTTTGGATTATAAAGTTCAGGACAATTCCACACCTTAAAAAAAACAAATTCATCTAAAATTCCTTTTACTTTATATGCCCAGTTTTTTACTCCTTTTTTACACTGATTTAATGTATTTATATACACACATTTAACAATGATATTGCTTGAATGTATCACTTTAAACCAATATTTTATTATGTGAACATATCTATTAACATAAAGTGGGTATCTTCCTAGCTCACCATAAATTGCTGCATTACAAGAGCTTATTTTCACACCAAGAATTAATTTGCAAAATTTCAAGTGTAATCTCTCTATATCTTTAGATTTTGTAAATCCCCAGACTGGACAAGCATAATTTATGATAGAGCCGACAAAAGCATCAAATAATTGTAAGGAAACAGAAGGGGAAATTTCATACTTGTTAATATTACATATTAAAACATTCATTGCTTTCAAAGCTTTACCTATAAGATATTGATTATGAAGCACAAAGGACCCAGTGTAATTAAATACTACACCTAAATAATTAAAATCGTCAACAATTTCCAAAGCTTCATTATTATAAAACCAACGTTCATGAGGAAGTACTGGTCCTCTATTCCGAAAAACAACTATTTTAGTTTTGGCGGTATTTACCTCTAGGCCCCATAGATTACAGTATTCAAATAAAGAGTTTTAGTCTTTGCTGTAAATCCTCTTGCGAGTTACCAATTATTACCATATCATCAGCGAATAACAATATTACTATACATATTTCAAATATATTCAATCCACAATCGACAGAGTTTTGTAAAAATAATTCTAGGTCTTCTAAAAATAGTGCAAACATGGCGGGCGAATTATTTTGGCCTTGTCGTAGCCCAACCGATAAATTGAAAAACTCTGAAAATGTATTGCAATGTTTAACACACGACTTAACAATTGAATACATTGATTTAAAAGTTCTAAGTAACTTCCCATCTAATCCCATATTAAACAATTTATACCATAATGCATTGCGGTTCACAGAGTCAAACGCCTTTTTTAAGTCGATAAAAGCACAAGGTAATCGCATTTTTTGAGTTAACATATGGTTTATTAAATTGTGTAACACGAAAATTGCATCTACTGTACTACACCCCTTTCTGAAACCAAATTGAGCGTCTGACAAAATGTTATTCTCATCAAACCATTTTCCACTCTATTTGTCAAGATACTTATAAACAATTTCCCAAAGTTACTTAGTAATGTGATGCCACGATAATTATTAACATTAGTATGATCACCTTTTTTATGAAGAGGTATAATAAAGCCTTCAGACCATATTTCTGGAAAATAGCCCGCATCAAAAACTCTGTTAAAAAGATCAGTGATATGGCCTACTAATATATCAATAGAAAATATAAAGTATTCGTTCAATAAGTCATCACTTGGACAAGACGCTTTGTTGCGGTTTAATCGCTTCACCGCATCTCTAACTTCTTCGCAAGATATGGGTATATTGAGCTCTTCGAAAGTAGGGTTACTAATATTAGGATCAATATTATCATTTGAAATATTCGCATCAAAATTAGTTGTAGCCCTTATTTCTTCAAACATATTTGCAAAATAATTTTGGAAATCTAAAATAGGTATATCCGAACTTTGTGATACATTTCGTTTTTTGAAATGTTTCCAAAACTCTCTTGGTTTACTAGTTTTCAATTCATCGCTGCGCTTACAATCATCGCTTCGCTTAAAGGCGAAAAGGAACAAAGTTTACCCACAGACGCTTGCCCACGTTGGGGGTAGGGCGGGGCATGATCTGATCCCCGAGCGTCTATGAGTTTACCAAATCAGTACAAGAATACCCTCTTTATTGATAGTACGTAACCAGGTCAAGGTTGTATGTCTGATTATAAATCAAAATATTGTATGATACGCTGTACACAAACTAGAGAAAGTACTTTTATTAATAGAGTAGTCAAGTAGTTTAACATCCTTTAACATCCTTTACATGAAGACTTGGTTGTAAATTGGTTTTAACATTAAGGACCATCATGTCCCAGAAATGCATGAATTTTTTTTATTAAATGCTTTGTATGTTTGATGTCCTGTTTTAAGTTCTAAAAGGTTACTGATTGGCCAATTATCTGCCTATGTTGGCTTTTGGCAGATGGAACATTTACAGTGATTCAGTTATTTGTTTGAAAGTCAAAATATATTACTTTGTTTACAATTTGCCACTTTCATGACAAATAATTTCACAATCAGCGCTATTTCTTTCAATTGATAACCATCTAACATGCTCTTAAACCCTTATTTTAACGTTATAAAACTAATGTTTGACCTTTATAAAGAAGGAAACATGTATTCATTTCTGAGACATAATATATGTGCCTTAATTTAAACTATGAATTATAAATGCTGAATTTATTTGGTGTTCGCGCCGGTTTGGCCCATATTAAACTTTGTTTTAATCTATTGCCATTTCGTTACACAGGATGTCTTTAATTAATTGGACTATACATAATTATGTTGGATACAAATCGCTTGAATCAAGAATTCGTTTTCTACTAATTTTTATCTATGTATACATTCTGTTTTAAATTGAAGTAATAAAATTAAAATAATCAGCCATCAATAGCAAGAGTCTGGTTAGACTATACTGGTATAGTCCTTGGATATACGTACCTAGGTAGCCTCTTGTACCACAATCGTTTCCTATATACATGTATTGCTTAAGGGGGACCCGGGCGTTTTCCCCTTGTTACAGCTAAAAAACGCTGAATAACTTAATAATTTCAGCTTGAATAAAACAGGAAACAGAAATGTAAAGCTTTTCGACCTATGTCTGTATAGTGTTATTCGTTTTCATGTATCTGTTTACATATTTTACAAATTGTATCTTTTACAGTAAGCTCATCACGGGTAATAGAGGGGTAAGACTGAACAACGAGAATCTCAAGCGACTAACAGAGGATCATCTGTATCATATTGCCCTTAGCAACGTTCAACATGATCTCGGACAACTGTTCGGCGATGTCAAGGTATTAGACAATGCCAAGAGCATAAGGGCGACTTCGATCACATACCGTGGTATCCCTAGAAAAACTAAACTTTCACCGAACGAAGTGTCTTTCAGTTTGGTTTGACTAATGTATCATTCGGTTATCGTGTCTGAAACAGCCGTTCCTCTGGTTAAAAGATGGCGCCATACAACACATAAACGGAAGTACATCCGATTCCAGACATGCGCAATTCATCTTTCATAACCAGACTAAAGTCCTTAATCGAAGTCGCTCTTAGATTAAGATGGTTTTTTACTTTTAATTTTTTACTAAGACTACAATCATGCTTACTTTGTAGTACACTTGTACTGATTAATCTACAAAGCGAACACAATAATAGATTAAAAGTCACAAACTACATGTATTGTGTGTGTCCCCTATATATTCTAGGTTTTTGTAATCTTATTCCTGATTCGTTGTATGCAGATAAAAGAGTTAACTAATTCACGTACATGTACTGTAGTGATTCTAAATATTTTAAAAATGCAAATTATTCTATAACGGTATTTAACACCCATTCGATGCTTTTGAATTGTTCAGTATGACCGTCCAATATAATTATATCCTGTATTGGACGTATTCAGTATACCCTATATTGAACTTCTGTGAACTACTTTAAGCCATAAAGAACAAAAGTATCTGAATAATAGAAGCTTCTTTCGAAAAGCAAACTTAGTGACGTTTATCAAAATATCTTATCAAGTCAAATTTTCGTTTCCTGTCTCTTGTTTGGATAAAGATGTAGAACAAGCAGGCTATTAAACTGTTCAGTACAATAAAGGATATATCTGGACTCGTAAACCGCTTGAAAAAAACATTTTGGATCGTAGAATATTTTTTTCTCCAGCTGTATTATAATGCTATATTGAGTCATTGCTCAAATTGATAAAATCTGTGACAGTCTAGCTATTGAAAATATATAAAATGAATTGAAACAGTCTGTTTACAAGGTGGTTATTTTCCATATACATGCATGTAGAATATTACTGATAAACTGCCTATTTAATACCTATTTTATAACGTCTTTTTCAGTTCGTATGTTTTGGGGGTCAATCATCTCGTATGGAAAAATTCGCCAGTTTTATTTCAAAAGAGCTTGGTCTAGAAGATAACGGACCGCCGAAGAATTACGCAGGAAACACGGATCGCTATGCCGTATACAAGGCCGGGCCTGTACTATCTGTTAGCGTAAGTCACGTGATTTTCACGTGATTAAGTCTTGTGAAAATCTTACCTTGAAAGTTTTATCTTGGACTAAACAAATAGTTTGAATAGGTCTTTGTAAATAAACGCTTTAGGAATAATTTGCTGATTTTTGTTTACAATGGTGATAGTAAATGATTCATTTCCTGTTTTAGACGAGAAATCGGTCATTTAACTTAAAGCACAAATCATTTTGAAATGAAATTGTTAAACGAAAGAGAAAGGAATATACTCAAATGAATAGGTCATTATTGTGCAGTACTTCCAGCTAATTTTAGATTTCTTTTTTACTTTGTCCTAGTTTTCCTGATGACATAAACTTCAATATGATCATTTGCTAGGACCACTTTGTTTATGATGTAAATGGATTGTTTTTGTTTCCAGCATGGAATAGGTATTCCATCACTGTCAATCATATTCCAAGAAATAGTGAAACTCGTTTACTATGCCGGCTGTCGCGATGTTACATTTTTCAGAATAGGAACAAGTGGTGGTCTAGGTAAAATTATATTCAACATGGCTTTACATTTAATTATAACATTATTGTAAGTTATCCGCATAATAACTCTTCACGTGAGTAATTTACACATAATTATATAGTTGTTCTGTATTGAAATACTTTCAAACTGAAAGTAACAAGAAAAGATACATATGTATTAGCTAAACGACTATCTTTATAAATGAATACAAACACTTGGTTGAAGTACGCTTATGTTCGAGTGACTTTCTGGAGAGATTTCGATGCTTTGAATGAAACATTGCTGAAAGCTAGAAAGATACATACATGTGTGGTCAGTTGTTTCACCTGAAAATGATAAGCTTAAAGAATGATACCGCTAAATGCAATGTCTAAAACAGTATCAATTATTTCATTTAGCTTTTTAGGGGGTTGGGTTTTATGTCGCACAAACATAGAAGAGGTCATATGGCAACTTTACTAGTGGAGGAAGACCTCAGATGCCCCACCAGCACGAACGGATACCTGAGTATATAACCACCGCCGTTCTGTAAGCTAGCTGGATAGCTTCCTCACGTCAAAGAATCCAATATTCCTTGGCAGGATTCGAACCTATTGCGATGAGGGGCAAGGGTATAATATTATAACAATTCATGTGTTATATCGCCATTATGTTTTAGGTTTAGAGCCCGGTACAGTTGTAGTCAGTGAACGAGTTGTGAACGGTGCATTAGAACCTTCGTACAAAATGGTAAATATCTTTTAAACTATAGTTCGTATTGTCAATAGTTGAGACTTCAGTGCGTAGGCGTTGTAACTGTTTAGCTTATTTTTTTCATAAATTAAGGAAAATGTCCTGCAGAATGTTCTTAATACTAAGTTAAATAAAGTTATTACGAACATTTAGCTATTTCGTTCTCCTAGGTGATTATTGTTTATAGTGTTTAATTAGTTTCGACAAAAGATGATGAAATGATAGAAAGACAGAAAAAAAATAAAAATTATAATAGCGATTTATAGAATGGTTTGAAAATAACTTTCTATGTGATTAATAAAACTTGAATTTAATATTCTACTTTTCGGTGCCAAAGATAATAAATCTTCGGATACAAAGTGATCCAAAATGTTTTTTATCCTTGTGGACCAAACCTGGAAAGTCTTATAACATCAAATGATTTGTTAAGTCAAATGACACAATTTAAATCAGCGATGTTATTTTTAGGTTGTTCTTGGAAAGACTATAGATAGACCTGCCGTGGTTGACACGACACTAGTAGAAGATCTTGCTAATTGTAGTCTTAATTCAGATAACTTCAAAACTGTGAAAGGAACTACTTTATGTGCGGACGATTTCTATGAAGGTATGTAAAATAATTAAACATTCAATCAAATTTTCAGAGTCATAATTTTGTATGAAAACTATTGCGAACCTAGATTACTAGTTTAAAATATGATTATATCAAAGCTTGATTGTTAAAAAAGCTTGTACCTTTTCTGAATCATATGGTGGCTGATTTGTGCCATGTCGTATGTTTGTTCCGCGGGGCGCCAACGAAAACAAGAAAATACGACAAAGTAAACTGTTTGTCGTGCTTTTGCCCCTCGGGGCGCAAATGCGAAAACACGATAATACGACAAAGTCAACAAGGTGTCCTTCTTTCGCTCCGCGGATCGCAAAGGCGAAAACACTCACCTCTTTGCCGTTCTTTCGCTTCGCGGGGCGCAAGGCGAAAACACGATTACACGAAAAAGTGTTGAATGTCGTATTATCGTGTTTTCGCCTTGCGCCCCGCGGAACGAAATTACGACATGTCACGAATCGAATCAGCCTTTGTAGAACCACCCTTAATTCCTTTTCTCTGAACTAAGCAAAACTGGTGTCATTCGTGGAATTAAATAGATGAATATATTATACTTTATAAAGATTACTCGCTAGAAGAAATCATATCTTCCTCGTGACTTTTAAACACGCATTTACTTAATAATACTCTTTTACAGACTGTTACTCTCAAAATAGAATATAAAATCAAACTTGGCAGCACATTACAAAGATGATTTTGTCCCAGTAAGTCTAGAACCAATTTAAGATATTCATCGTGGTAAGATGTACTGGATACATGGGCAAGTAAAGGAGATAAATTAATTATTTAGCTGAGCAGCCTACAGTATAGAACAGTCTTTGCTGGACTTCACGTTTTGGTATTTTGGATGGTGGTCTGTATACGTACATACAGTTATATGTTTTTATCCGCTACTGACTTGGAAATAATTATATATTACCGTGACCGTGCAAATTGTGATTTTTTATTTTATATAAAGGTCAAGGTCGAGTAGACGGAGCATTCTGTGAACACGAGGACGGGGAGAAATTTTCTTGGTTACGAAAACTTAAAGACAATGGTGTTACAAATATGGAAATGGAATCTCTGGGCTTTATTGCTATGTGTCATAGAGCAAACATCAAAGGTAAACCGTCCTTTTTAGTGTTTCTGCTTGTGTCTTTTGAAATGAGCCGCGTCATGACAAAACCAACGTAATGCGTTTGCGACCAGCATGGATCCAGACCAGCCTGCGCGTCCGCGCAGTCTGATCAGGATCCATACTGTTCGCTTACAAACCCTATTACAAGTAGAGAAACTGATAGCGAACAGCATGGATCATGATCAGACTTCGCGGATGCGCAGGCTGGTCTGGATCCATGCTGGTCGCAAACCAACTATGTTGGTTTTGTCATGACGCGGCTCAGATATACCATCGTATTGTATATTGTCATGCCTGCAAAGCTGAAAAAAAAACATAAAAGACATGAAAACCTGTGATGAAATGTTGCTGGTGTCTGTTAAATAACTTACTTGCATACCTCTCAATTTAAAGTTATATGGACATTTAAATAAATGGGTTGATATATATTTGATTTTAAAATTTAGTTTTTTTTGTAGTATTTACCAGGGACTTAGGATTCTTTCATATGCTGTTAAGTTAGCTTGCAAACCGTCCGTATTTCTACTTAGGTGCCTGTTCGTGCCTGAAATCATGCACTGAGGGACACCTTAGGTTTTTCTCCACCAGTAAAGCTGGAAAGTCGCCAAATGACAAAGCTTGCGCGATATAGAACAGTACAACACCTCCCAACGTGCCACCTCACCTTAAAAAGTCTAAATAAATAAATCCAGAATGTTTACAGCTTATTGTGATAACATATCCAGAATAAAGATTTATATATTTTTGACCTTAATACACAAACCAAGTTGGTATTTTTCTTAATATGTCAATATAGTTAATTTATATTCTTACCGACAGATGACTTGCAGATTTATTTACAGATATATTTTTGATATGTACATGCACCCAATTTGATCAATAATTTTATTTTAATGTTTATATGATTTTCTATTTATAAATTGTAAGTAAAGATTGGTTACAAACAATGCCAAGCTATCCTCATATGATAGAAACGAAGTTGTTTTTAGGTCCACTTTGTATATCATTTCAAGATTTTAGCTCGACTATTCGAAGAATATGGAGAGCTGTTGTACTCACCCGGGCGCCGAGTGTGGCGTCCCAAGTTGGTTAAGATTTTTATCCGTACTTGTAAGTGGTTATGTCCAAGACTACAGAAGGAAATGCCTTAAAACTTGACTCATTTATTTGAAAAGCTCAATAAGAGGTCACCGTCCAAAGTCTAAAACTCTAACATTGATTTTGTCAGAATTATGACCCTTTTTGAAGTTAGAAATTTCTACGTTATCCAGGCTTTTGTTTTAAGCACTGAGAGTAGTCGAGCACGCTGTCCTACCGACAACTCTTGTTATATTGAGGGGATTTTATCCATATCATTTAGGATACTTTCAGACACCTTTCGGTCGAGGGGCCTTTGTTTATCCTTGTTTTATTGGCCAATTTTTTAACTTTTACGGAGAGAAATGTTCGTTGTATACTTGTGTAATTGAGTTGTTAACATTGTATATTTACATTTTGGCCTTTTATTATGTGTACACCTGGAACAATTTACATGCCGTTATAATTTTATAATTATTTTGAGTAAAATGGCGGGAAAAATATTACTCACCTTATAACTATACTTATTACATTACAGGTGCGGTATGTTGTGTGACGTTATTGGATCGCTTTGAAGGCGATGGGCTCACAACCAACCGGCAGTTACTAAGTGAATGGCAGACTTTTCCTCAAATAATTGTCTCCAGATACATCCAACAAAAGCTGAACGAGAGCAGCTAGATTTGTTTGAAGTTAAGAAACGTTCCGAATCTCTATTATTGTGTGCCTAAACTGAATCAGATGCTCCGTCCATTCCGGACCAAAATTAAGAATTTGAAGATTTTTAACCTGCTTAGATGTTGAAATAACATTTTTTTTCGAATATGGTTTTGTTGGAATGATATACCGATAATGGTGTTAACTGTCGTCTAGAAATTTGGTAAATTAATCATTATAAAAATAGCTCCTACACCAAATGATGCGAATTCTAAAACTGAAATTTCATTTATGTATGTTAATGAACCAACATAAATACTGATGTTTGGGGAAAAAAACAAAGATACAGACAAACAAAACACACTTGACTTGTGGATGAGGAAACTATCATATAAAAACTTTTGCCCAAATTGTTTAGATCATTTTCAGTCATTTAGTGGCATTTTTGTTTAATGAAAAGGCAAGTTAAACGGCTATATATATTCATAATAATATCGGACTTAATACGGATTGAAAGTAGTTCTACCATGTAAACATAAACAGATGGCGTAGGTTAGACCGAAATCCGTTCTATGTATTCTTACTATAGTGATAGATGAAAAGGGCCGAGAAGTTGCGAATGAAAGGAAGTTTTTCTATAACAGGGAACTTATAAACAGTCGTGCTATTGAACAGCGTGAGAAAATAAAACATCATTCGGGAGCAAATCAGCCGAAACAATTGTCACATTGCCTTTCATTTTTTGAGCTAGCACCATACAAAATTAATTTAACAATTTTAAATACTTTAAGACTGTACTTCGGCCGTATACTTATCACATATGCATTGCTTTGATTTTGTTAGTTGTTTGCGAAAAGTTTTAGTAAAATCTTTGGTTTTTGGTTTTCTTTCCGGGATTTGGTGGAAAATCTTATGTTTTATGTATTGTTTGTTAGTCGTAATATTTTTTCGTTTAAGACAATGTATACCATTGAATGTATATGTATGTTGATATATTTGATATGAAACTTTTTATAACCATACCAAATTAACTTGTTGTTCTTAACATGTCATAAAAGTCTCCTAACTGGCTTCCGTGGCCGGGTGGTAAATGTCGCTTACTGCGAACCACTTGTCACTCTACGTTGTTGGTTCGAATCTAGTCAGGAACTTTGGCTTATTTCGTGTTAAAAAGCTATCCAATTTACGGAAGGGATGCCGGGTGCTTACTCGCTCGTTCCTGAAATAAAGCAAAAGTTGACACGTGACTTTATTAAACTAGTAAGTAGCCAAGATAGATATGTTACTATTAACAACTTGATCTCACTTATATAACATTATTTACACCGAACATTTGCACGTAAACTCGACCAATAAAATTACTCATTAAATTTTGACGGATACCAATCTTTATACTTATAAGAGCACGTTTCCTTTATGTAATTGGGAAGTGGTTAAACGACAAAAACAAAGTATTTTTTAAAAGGCTTGACTTTTCTGACAGTAAAACGTATAATCTTAAACTTGTCAACAATGGGATGAACGGTGTCCAATAATAACCCTTTGTAAACAGATAATAAGCCGCGTTCGAAGATTAATGAACAGAAGAGAACCGTTTTATTCTGTTCTTAATTAAGTCACGCATGAATGGGTTTCTTGTTCTTAACAACTTTCGTGCATTTATTTGAATACGAATGGTATTTCAGACTTGTGAGCTTTAATCAAGTTTACGTGTTTGTGCGTTTCTGTTTTAACCTTGTCAACATTTCCTTACTGAATAAACATTTTTATAAACTGAATAACGTTTTTATCGGTAACTTTTCAAGAGGTCCTTTCATTTAAATCATACACAATTAGGTCACTGATAAAGAAGACATTTAAAGTGGGACTTTTCAACAACAATCATAAACATAAATAAAGTGTGTTACTTAACACATACATGTATGTTCTTGACCTTAAAATGCTTAACACTATTAACAAAATGTAAAATGATTTTATGTTGATGAGGTGGATATTTAAGCCTATGAATATATTACATTAGCCAGGTTCATATATTTAGATAATCAATCTCCATACAATGTATGTTCTACTGTAGCGGGAACGGTGACATATAGAATTAACAATTAAGATGTGACCATTTCTACCCGTACACCGCCTGCCCTAAGGTAGCACTCCACACTAAATTTCAATTTTCTGCCGTCAGTGTCCTACAAGCAATATGTCTGATAAATCTGATCCCAAACTACACAACCGGGAAAAAGAAAACACATTTTGTTAAGAACATATATGTCATAACATTGCAAATTTATAATGAAATCATCCCATGTGCAACAGTCAGGCAGTTAAAAAAATCCAATTCATTCCGTAAAAGCCAAAAATCTATAATGGTCCGATACCCAAAACAACATATTTCGTCCCGCCGGCAAAAAATACCTGCAAACATACGGGCTACAGAAACTCTGTCACTGCTTAACAACTCCCTATACATGCAAAATATTACAAAGAAATAGGTGCTTGGCCTTGTAGATTTTTTACTATTGCTGAAAGTTTGTACCCCCCTGTAAAATTACTTGTTTTCACCGAGCATGTTGTTCAAAAGCAGTGTATACAAACAATGGCGGCCTTGACATCTATGATTAACAGCATGCGATTTCTAACCATGTTTTCGAATTTGCCAATGATCATATTACATGTCACAAAAACAAATTTCATGCTGAAAATGCATTTTAAAGACAACCAGTCATTTAAATCCACAATAGTCACTATATCCATGAAATCCTGGCCATTCGAAGCTGTGGCTTAGTTTAGTGTGGTGTGCTGCCTAAGCCAATCAGAATGGAGTGAGACTAAAAAAAGGGGGCAGGGGACATATTCGAATGATGGCCCGGTCAAATGTTTTAATAACTCAGACATGGTGTTTTGAAGGTACTGATAACTTCTGATATTTCTCTGTCATTGTAATTCTTTCTTGTTTGTGTGTAGGAAATGAGATATATTTTTGGGTTTTTACCCGAAACTAAGCATTTTGGTAGCTTTGTATGTATTTCTGACTCTCCGAATGGAGGTGAAAAATCAAGCTTTGACAGTTGGCGCCAAACAAGTAAGAAATTTCAGATAAATTTTGTGAAAAATCTAAACGTATGACAGACACTTTATTTGTCATTTCTGAAAATGCCATAGCTTGCACTGCGTGTTACTGATATTTTTAAAGGAATCGGGCGGATTCTGGAGTATGCTGCACCTTCATGAAGATTGCCCATATTGGTATATTTTAGGTGTGATTTTGGCTCGGTGGGGGTAAATATAAATTGCTGTCAGTCATTTTTTGAAGGAGCAATGCATGCAAACTATTATTTTTTTCAATGTATGTCATATATCATTGAATAATGCTGTGCAACTGGTTATCTGCCAGTAAAACAGATTTTGAAATATTTTGAATTGTGTTTCTGGTCACACTGAAATACAAAATTTTTCATTTTTAGGTCCCCTGCCCCCTAAGTCTTATGGGCGCAGCCATATTTGTTTACAAAGTTATGTAGACGCATAAACGATGACATCAAGCTTCTTGCGACATAGATTTTGGAACGGGAAAGTTAAAAAGTTGCAAAAAAGATTCTTCTCTTATTTTGTTGGTTAAAATTTGGATAAAAGTAAGAACAATTAAAATAGAACAGTTCATAAGTAGTAGTTGATCTGTATATTGCTATTTGACGTGTTTTGTTGATATTTTTTTACACCTAACGAATGTAAACAAGAAAAATGAAGTCGTCTGTTGAACGCACTTTTTTGTAATTAATATCAAACTTTCACGAGGTCATATTTGTTTTCAATACTGATGAGAATATGTATCATTACTCTATTTTGGTAAATATTTATCATTTTACAGTTTAACCCATTACTTCATGAGTATTTTGTGAAAAATGGCTGCTTTCATTGAAAAGTCTCCCGTTACAAGTTCAAATTGCTATAATACTATAAAAACTGTTTCAACACTAATTAAACTTGGTACAAATGTTGACTGGTCCATTGCCCTTGCAACAACATGCTCAAGCTTAAATTTTTTGTTACCATGGCAACGAGGGACATCTCAAAATTGCCAAAAATCACTATTTTGCGTTGATTTTTCCATCAAAATTGATTTCAAAGTGCTGCAACTTCTCAATGGATTGAGATAGAGTTAAAAGCTTTTCAGCGTTGGTTACACGTTAACTTATAATCAATCTGGGGTCATTTACAGCCTCTCACAAGTCCAAAATTTTCTTGGCGATGAGGGGGACTCCGCCCCCTTCAAACCCCCCAAAACAGAAGGGGGCACATCCCCCTTCTGGCAACCACCTGATGTATCTTTTGGTTGGGGACCGCGCCGAAAAAGAGGTCATATTTTTAACAGCATTTCTCAAACAATTACAAATGTTGAGGGCCTAAGTAAGGTATTTTTTCACCATTTGAGACAACAAAAATGGGGGGGTGAAAAAGGCGTTAAAAGGCGTCCATATAACGTAATGGGTTAATAGAAAATGATGCCCTAAATCACGTATTTTCACGTTTAAACATGGCCGTCAGATAAATTTGAAGAAAAATTGTGGTTTTGTAGTTTTTTTGTTTTTTGTTTTTTTGTTTTTTTTTCATTAACCCATTACTTCATGAGTATTTTGTGGAAAATGGCTGTTTTCATTGAAAAGTGTCCCGTTACAAGTTCAAATTGCTATAATACTATAAAAACTGCTTCAACACTTATCAAACTTGGTACAAATGTTGACTGGACCATTGCCCTTGCAACAACATGCTCAAGCTTAAATTTTCAGTTACCATGGCAACGAGGGGTCATCTCAAAATTGCCAAAAATCACTATTTTGCGTTGATTTTTTCCATCAAAATTGATTTCAAAGTGCTGCAACTTCTTAATGGATTGAGATAGAGTCAAATGCTTTTCAGCGTTGGTTACACGTTACCTTATGATCAATCTGGGGTTACTTATAGCCTCTCACAAGTCCAAAATTTTCTTGGCGATGAGGGGGACACTACCCCCCTTCAAACCCCCAAAACAGAAGGGGGCACATCCCCCTTCTGGCAACCCCTGATGTATCTCTTGGTTGGGGGCCGCGCCGAAAAAGAGGTCACTTTTTTGACAACATTTCTCAAACAAAAACAAGTGTTTGGGGCCTAAATAAGGCATTCATTTTTTCACCATTTGAGACAACAAAAATGGGGGGGGGGTGAAAAAGGCGTCTTTATAACGTAATGGGTTAAAAGTGCTTGTAAATCGGAATTAACGCTGCGTAAAATAGAACCGTACGCGCATCGCCACAACACGTGTTGTTTACAACGTGGGGTGCAAAACGGGGAAATTTAGTGTGTGTATTACCCGTCTGGCTCGAAATATCAATTTATTTTGGGTGATCAATATCCAATCAAAAAGGCGGAAAAATCTTAAGGGTAATAATATAATATATTGATCGAGGTAATATTTTGTTTTAAACACTTGACCACCATCAGTTTAAATTCTGAGAGATTGTACACGATGATATTTATAGCTATAGGTGAAGCTCTATAGATGACGATAAGATGTGACCATTAGTGCAAAAATGTGGGGGTTTTCCGTGGATTGGGTTTCATGAAGTTAAAATCGCAATGTATTTAAAACCTTACTTGGATAATTCAAGCAGTATTTACAAAGAGAGCTTTGATATGGTATACACTAAGTAAAAAGATACAACAACAAAACAACAAAAGGCATAAAAATGATGACTATTAAATATGTTTCCTACATTTTAGTGTTAATGGAATTAATGGCATACACTAACGGATTTTCTCAATTTGA